GTATAACATTATAACATGATATAAAACTCAAAAAAGTTGATTTTACATAATATTGCCCCTTTAAAGAAGAAATCCAGCCGAATCCTGTTTATTCGGACATACCATTTTGAACAACGCATATTTTTCCAACAGTATAGTTAATCTGATTTTTAGTAAATATGTTTAAAAGTATGATGCAAGAAACTAGTGCAGAATGATTGGTGCATTTATGTTGTTTATTGGGAACCATGTTAAATCAGTAAAATAAATCCAAATAATCTTCCTTTTTCTTAAATCATAAGAGAACTAAATTTAATGATACATCTTTGATTAATTATTATACTCCTGCAAAAAACAAAACTAAATGTTAAAAAAATAATCTTAATAATTGGTTCATTTTAAATAATTTGAATCAAAACCTTGAATTGACAGAATAAAGGCACATTAAATCTTTATGGATCTTATATTACAGAGAGGTAAAGAGAGGAACTGTAAACTGCTAGCTTCTGTTTCGACTGAAATAAAAAAAGCGTCATTAGGGAACCTCTGGTCTAAGGGTCAATCCTAAAGGCCCACTCCCTTCATAGTTTATTATCTTCACTCATTTCAGGAAGGAGAGCACGAAGACAAGCAGCAGCATGAAGAACCTGCTGGTTTTAGGGATTGTTTTGTCAGCCCTTCACATCATCTACTCAAAAACTCCAGGTATGTTGGATTAGATTGTCTTTTTCTTAAGTTACGCCTATAATTTAAAATCCTAAAGTTTTTCAGTCTTACCGATTTCAGCTTTGCATCATGTAGGCCAGTTGATCTGCACATGGGCAGCTTGTATGTTATCTTATATCCTGATGAGGCTTTTTTTTTACACAGTTTAAATTATGCTGCTTTATTTGATTAATGAAACTGTAAAACTTTGCTGTCAGTCATTTCAGCACAACATGACCATCATTAGCTGATTCATAGGAACTGATACGACTCAAAACAGATACATGTTGGTATACTTTTCAGGGGTAATAACAGGTCCATTCAGAAAAAAAAAAACTAATCCGCTAAAAATGTTCACCTGTTTTGGGTTTTTTTCCCCCGACATGACGTTATTCTGGGTTCATGTTGACTTGAAGTTAAAATGATGTTGTTGATGGTGGAAAYGTAAAATACCTTCTCTGTGGGATTTTTATTTTGTGTGATTGTGTGAAGTTGAGTTGACATTTCCTTCCTCTAAAATTCCAAACTTTTAATTCTGAGATTGTTTCTACGTGAGAATAAAAAGGAGAACTGAAACTAACCAGAAACTTCAAATGACCTCGCAACTAAATGCTCCCATTTTTCTGAAATTCCACATTTTCATCATTGATGTGCCTTTTCTTTTAGTTAGTTTGTAAAAACAATAAATAAATAATATGATTAAGTCTCCCGCCAAAATACATAATACTAATTTAAAAAAGAACCATTTTGAAACTTCATTTCATGAAGGACAGGAAGGCTGAAACTGACACTTTATTGCCGCCATAAAAAATAGGGAGTGGGTCTCTAATGATGAGGTTAGTTAAACATTAATAATATGTCTGCTGGTGACTCAGGCTTAAACAAGTGTTGTACAGAAACTGTGTAAAGATCATTTTCATTACCTCACATTGCAAATAAAATMTCTTTTCTCTCACCCTTACAGCATTCTGTCAAAAACCCAGTGATCCAGGTCAGGGCACAAAGTACATCTTTGCTGTTTATTATGACGCCTCAAACGACCGATGCAACCCCTTCTTTTACGGGGGTGAAGGTGGAAACGAGAACCGCTTTGAGAATGAAAGACAGTGCATGAGAAACTGTTCCCCCAATGCAGAGAACATCTACCCTGTGGATGGTAAGARAACTGTTTGTGGGCTGATAGTAGCTGGTTTTACCACCATGCTGGTAAAWCTATAAAATCTACTTTAAACATTTCCTTTAAGTAGCTAAAGTCAGATTTTACATAGAGGCTGTATTTTATGCTGTTGGTGGACTTTGGAGCTTGAGTTGGCTGATAAGGTTTTATGGCCTAAAAGACAACAAATCAGCTGCATAAAGTCTTCAAAAGCACAACTGAGCTGAAAACAGGAAGAAAAATCAATCAGATTTCTAATGAGACATGTTTCATGAAATTGTCATGTCAGCTGTCATTATTATTATAATTAGTATTATTACTACATTTTTAGATAATGTTCACGTTTAACTCATCCCATCTGTTTTGGTCAGCATTTAGTGACACCAATGCGCCACCTAGTGGTCAAAAGAAAGAACAATGAGTTTGAGTGCTTTGACTAAATATTGTCTGTGTTTTCTGTTAGAATCCAAAGCTTGTCTCCTCAAGCATGAAACTGGTACCTGCAGTGGTAGTCTTTTGAAATACTACTACAACCCAGCTCATGACAAGTGCAAAAAGTTTATTTGGACAGGATGCCATGGAAATGGGAACAGATTTTCTGACAGTGAAACCTGCAATAGCACCTGTCTTGGCATCCACCGTGAGTATTTTTCATTATTAT